ATGCTCACGCTGCGATGTTAAGTTAAGTCTGAATAATATATTTGAGTACGGCATGACCAGACGTGCAAGCTAGAGGTCAAGATTATAATAACGATACAGAGGGTGCAATGCAGATGCGATATTTGTATTACTAGGCAGATACCGATAACGATGGGACCCAATAGTCGAAAGATCCACTCTCGACACCCAACAGACCACACGGTGGTGGTAAACTTGAGAGACCAAGAATTGTGAAAAACTAACAATCTTCGTCGAAACCAGCAGCAGTGCGGATTGAATTGAGAAGGATGTCGTTGTTGTCACCGGCAGACTCCCAGATGGCAAAGCCACGGAGGTTGTTCTCTTTGATGAAGTTACCCTTGGCAGAGAAGGATTTGGCGTCATCGAAGGAGACCATGAGCTGAGAGGTCTCGTTGTAGAGGTAGGGCTGCGGTAAACGAATAAGTCTCTAGTTTCACTAGCGATAAATATGTCAGACTTACAGTTTGACTGCATTCATCGAAGCGGTAGTCGACAGCCGCGGTGGCGGTACCATTGGGGAACAGCATTCCAGCCTCGATCAGACCAATGAAGTTGAAGTTACCACCGTTGGTCTGTTGAACACCACATTCATCAACGCCCTCACCGTCATCCCACTTGTCACCCTTGGGGTGTTGGTTCTTGTCAAAAGCAGGGAAGGACGCGATAATAGGGGTTTCAGTATCGTTGGATGTAAGGCCATCTGAAGGGGCGACGATGTAAGAATGGCCGTAGGCAGGAACACCCAAAACAAGTTGATGAGAGGGTACGCCCGCTGTCGTCCATGCCTTAATGGCGCCAGTCGCACTGCCCTGCTGGTTGGCAGCAGGCGCACAACTGTCATCGAGAGGCGCGTTAGGACCAACATAGGTGAGCCATGCTAAGAAAAGAGATTGTTTAAGATCATGTTATATCATCGTTAAAATGCACTCACGGCCAGAAATATCGTAGTTCATGATAGCAACATAGTCAAGAACTTTGGCAAATGCCTGAAACATCTGCGCTAGGGTTACCGTCAGCATCCCTCCATGGTGAGATAGGGGCGGCGGCAGTGACGACGAGTTTCTGGCCGGTGGGATCCTGACGAAGCTCTTGCAAGAATGCAAGGAAGTTGGAAGTATCATTAGGGGAGATTACGTTACAACCGATACCCTGATTTCCCGGGTATTCCCAACTGCAGTCGGATGATGATCAAAATGGAAACGAACAATCAAACGGTGAGACAACGTACTCGAAGTCGACACCATCCAATTCATGCGTGGTGGCGAGGTCAACAACTGTTTTGACAAATTGGGTACGGTTCTCTGCTGTTGCGACATGAGACGAGAAGTAAAGAGAACCCGTCCAGCCACCGATAGAGACGAGAGCTTTGACTCCCTGCAACGGATATTTCAGTCAAGTGACGAGGGTAATAGTTGAACATCGCAACAAACATTCTTCTTCGCAGCTGAAACGAAGTCGGGAAGCACCTCGGGACTGGAAGCATCAAGGGAGAGGTTCTTGATGTCGGGCGTTGTCACGCTGAAGCAAGTGTGGTGTCAACGTAATACACCTCATGTAACAATGACGGGGACATACGCAAAGGAGTACGTTACATGCGTGTACTTCTCCCAACTGACATTGGCGACAGGAAAGTCTTTTGAATGCCATCCAGCATACCAAGCAGCAGAAACCATATCGACTGTAGAGCCATTTGAGGTTGAGATTGTAGCTTCAGCAGCAATACCAGCAGCCCGAACGGCGGAGATTACAAAAGGGAGTGAAAGTAAGGACCACATAGTGATCTGTATTAGGGTCGTCAAGGACAGTGAGGTCAAAAGCAGCGAAAGGTTCTCTGCAAAATCCCAGGGAGGGAGGGGTGTGGATGGTGGCAAGTTTTGGGTGGAGCGGCTCAGCCCTTTTTATAGTTCCATCACACTGGAAGCATCTTCAACTCCATTTTCGGCGCTGACCACAGCCATCGCGTTGTTTTGGCGGTCACCAACCTTGCACAAGTAATACAAAGGTCACGGTAGCAAGCCAAGTCAACACTTTTTTTACTGGGGCCAGTCTTGGGCCGGATGTTGTCATACAATACCCGTGATATAAGATGAAGAAAGATGAACATTTATGATTGACGATGACTACTGGTGAGATGAGACCTGACAAGACACAAGGAGGAACGGGATCTGGATTACCAAAATATCAGGCGTCGAGATGCTAGAAGGCTATTTTCATAGCCCAGCAATATGTTTTAACCGAGGGCCCATGCAACAGGGAGAAAAAGGTCGGACGACACCAGCAGGATTCGAACCTGCGACCCACAAGGGGAGTAGATGATCGAGTCTAATTCGAATCTACCGCCTTAACCACTCGGCCATAGTGCCTTTCCAAGAGTGGGCAGTTTCTACCCTGGTGTAAATTAGCCAATCTAACTTGCAAGCGTCACGCTTGCAAGTTGCAAGTACGTTCTCGCTTTCATCGACACGGACATGACATCTCCCTCAGTAGATTCTCCATTGCACGGAGAACCCACAGAAAATACTATTATACTATCGACGACACCTCCAAATGAACCGCCACCCCCGTATCCCTCACGTACACGACGCAACCGTAGACGGAGGATACTTGCAGTTGAAACCACACATTTGCAGGTACCTTCCACCAGTGCGGACTCCGACCATGAGCGATCGCAACTACACTCATTTGTGGAATCTGAGGATGAACACGGTTATTCTGCGACAGGAAACGACACACCTCCTCTCAAACCCAGGCTCGCCCCGGATACCTCAGACAGGCAGAGTAAGACAGAGAACTCTATCACTCACAAGTACTACTTCCGTAGCGCCATCCTTCGCTCAAACCGTTCTGTCTGCTTTCAACCCTGAAAGAGATTGTGATATTGACTCGGACTATGAGGGACATGATAACAGGTCATCTCGTAGATCAGAGCCTTCACCTACCGAGCCTTTTGATGTTGAAAGCGAACCTCTCCTACCAAGTCCTTCCGGGATTCGGCATCGTCGCTCATTCATAGACTCACTCAAACGATATTTCAGACCGATGGGGAAGAAGGCGTACTATTCTGCATTATTTCATCTGTTGGTCGTCAATTTCCCATTTGCTCTAGTAGCTTGGGTGTATCTATTCGTATTCACTTTGGTACGTATCCACCTACTCCTATGCATTCATGTCATTAAGACCCTTGCACAGACTGGGACAACTACCTTGATGGCTTTACCTTTGGGTGCTGTCTTATGCTTCCTCGATTCTGATAGGTGCACGTGCATTTTCAAGGGGAGAGGTACGATATCACATGGCTCGTTATAATGTTTCCTTCTCATGCTTTCATTTAGCTCGCGCTGCAAACAACCTTCCATGGCCCGTCTAGCTTTCCCATCACCATACCCCCCACATCCGATATTCACTCGGATTCGACCGTCTACAGCTGAGGAGATTGAGGCCGGACTTGGAACACAATATGAACATTCCTTCTACCGAAATGCGTACTCTATGGTATGATCAATATAATCCGAACCATCTCGTCGTACTAACGATCTTCGCAGTTTACCGACCCTACATCCTATCAAGCATTATTCTATTTCCTTGTCATTAAACCAGGCATCACACTCTTCCTGTCACTTATTTTCATCGTTCTAGCTCCTGTTTCCTTAGCTCTTATTCTCCCTTTCCCTGCTGTCTTACGTCTCGTACGCAGGCTTGGCATATGGCAGGCGAACGTCGCTGTTGACGGCCTGTATTACACGGTTCGATAGATCCACACGTCCTCAGCGTTCTCATAGTATTTCGCGACCATCACATTTGGACAGTCACTAGGGTATTGTATTTTTACATTTGTATGTTATTCTATGTCCATATTGGTTTAGAGCAGTCCTCCATTATTCAGTATCATATGGAGGCAGTCCCCATTCTTCCGGTTTGAAATCTTCCAGAGATGTCAACGTGCGGTCCGGTTTCTCAAGTATAGAATTTGCGTCATTGTCGCCAATAGTCAACAGGTTGGGATCCGGTACCCAGACAACTATTGAAAATTCTTCAGCATTAGAGATGATCATGTAATTCATAGCTGGGGCAACCACTAACCATTCATTCCTGCCCTCTTGCCAGCTTGAACGCCAGGAATTGCATCTTCAAATACCAATCCCTTCGCTCGTTCCGCAAGCTGTTCTTCTGTGACGATCGACTCTCCGATCTCGCCATCCCCAACTCCGCGCTTCAAACACGTCGTTGCTGTTACCAAGAAGATGTCCGGATGGGGTTTCCCTCGGCCAGATTTGATCAAACCGTCGTCAGCACAGACGACTCGGCCTCCAAAGTACCCAAAGAGAGCATCCATGAGATGAGAGCTCTTCAACTCATAGTTCCGACGTTGTGATCCGGTAGCTACCGCAATCGGGACACCGTGTTTATGCAAATGCTTTACGAGTTTCAGGACTCCGGGGAGAGGTTGGACATGAGGCCAAAGAGCGTCTTGTCCTACTCGCCGACGCTGAAGATACACGTCGATGGTGAACTCGGGGGGAAGGTCCGGGAAGAATGATAATAAATGGGTGGCTGCATCACGTTCGGCTGTTTCACTACACTTTCAGAACTTTGAGGATACGGCTAGACTGAGGAAGACATACGTTTTCCCATAAGACCTGCTTTAATATCCCAGGTCATTTCTTTGCCATACTCGGCGAGAATTTCATCTGTTTAGCAAGGTTATAATCAATAAATAAACCTAGAAGGATGTGAGGTACTTGTTACTTGGGTGTAGACTCTTTCGGAGTCAATCAGCAGGCCTTGATTTGGTCAATGATGTTTCCGTTGGTGACATACATAGGGCTCGTAGAGCTCACCATCCATGTCAAAAAGGACATACTCGATTTTAGCTTTCGACTTATGGACTGCGTCCCTAGTCATGACTGTATGCGAGAAACTTGGGCACTGCTTTAGCGCTTTGATATGCTCTGGAAAAAAAGTGAAAGAACCCGACTGTCTGGACACTGTGGGGATTGAACCCACGACCTCATGCAGGCATTATGTAATGCAAAGCAGGCGCGCTACCACTGTGCCAAGTGCCCATGCATATCTCCAAAGTGTGATGTTGAAGTTGCGGTATCCATTCATACTAAGCGAAATCTGGAGTAATAGACTAATAAAGCACCATGTAGTACTGAGTACTCCTCGGCGTCCTCGTAATTACAACCTCTCGTATCAACTTGTGTATTTTCTTCCACTAGCAAAACGATGAACGTTGCGTAAAAGCTCACTCAGGCTCGTCCGACTTACCTCCGCTCTGTTGAACGCGCGGTACACCGTTCACTAGCGTCACTGGTGACAGATTACTGCTGTCATTTTAACAGCGAAAGTGACATCACGTACACGATTGTGATGCTGCATTGAAAGTTTTTGTACCTACAGATATATCCCCCAAAGCTCGAGCTTCGGAGACTCATTCATTGTAGTAAGTCAAACTACGGCTTGTTATCGAGACCAATTGCACTGAGATCTTGTAACACGATTCGCCTACTTCCTCTTAATAAAGTAGGTAGTTCATACCTTATCACATCATTCCAGCTATGCATCACACCAATACGCATGCCGAAGATGAGCAAGCAGGCTCGAGGACGCCAGCAATTAATATTGCCAGTCGAATAACTCAGGACGCCGATTATGGAGACGACCATGATCTTGTTGGCTCTCCCGAACAGGTGTCTGAATTGGCTACTTACCGTTCGAGTCCTCATCTGTCGTTTGGCTATGGAAGTCAAGACGCTCTTCCGTCGCGCCCAGGCTTTGGTCGCAGTATTTCGTCCCCTCAAGGAATCTCGTCTATGCCAACCTCCTCGTCACCGCGTTTCCAAACACTATTCAGGAAGACTCAAAGACCCCCCAAAGACAGGGAGTGGAGTGTATTCGGAGAGTTGATGTCGGGGGAAGGGAGGGGAGAAAGGCATTTGCAAGTCCCGTCTTTCAGTGCAAGCAGCTCGTTTGTCAGGCGTGGTGGCCACACACCTTCTTCTTCCTCTACCACACCCATTCCAACACCTGCTATGGAAGAAAGCGGAACTCTGTCGCTAGGCGACACCGTGCAATCGCCGGTACAAGATAGCCAAATGGCAGGAACTGATAATCTTCCTAGCTTCTCTTCTATGGAACAGGTTTCTGAACCACAAACGCTCAATGATCGACATTCTCATTCGGATTCAGATTCAGACCATGACGAAAATGGAACTCAATCGCGTCCAGTACAACGTTCTTGGCAATCTTTCCTCCCTTCTCTTCCGACATTAACTCCTATGCATAAAAATATCTTGAAATGTTCAGTGGCATATTTCATTGGTAGCCTGTTCACCTTCTCTCCGTACCTCTCAGGTTTCGTCGCTGATGTCACCGGTAACGAACCGGGCGACACTCGGCCCTCGCCCTCAGGGACACATGGTTGCTACTGTGTTAGTACCTTCTCATGGTTCGAGTTCCTTATTCACGTTCAACTGAGGACCCTTATAGTGCCGTGTATTTCAACCCAGCAAAGACTGTAGGCGGGATGCTGGAAGCCGATACATTCTGCCTCATGGGTCTTTTGTACGCTGCTTTCGTCTCGCTCAGCAGCATGGGTATGTTCTGGTTCTTCGAAGTTCGTAGTGGCTGGGAATGGCTTGCCGATTCTTTGGTGATTCTATGGATCGGACTCGGAATGTCGGCTGTTGCATGGACAAAACTCTGGATGGCAAAACCTGCTTTCAACCCTGGTAAGGTTCGCCATTGTTATACATCTATCATCAACTAATATGGCTATAGCTTGCAGTATGACCGCGATTATTTTGTTTGTTGTGTATGTTATTCTCTATTGATAATCCTAACTTCGCTAATGTGAAACATATAGTATCATCAAGGAAGGAGGCATCGATACATTGCTCGAAGTATCTTTCATCGTTCTCGTCGGCGCCTTAATTTCGAATCTCGTCTGTTACACCTTATGGCCTCAGCAAGCTACAAATAATCTTCAAAACACGATGTCTAAGACGCTTGACTCGTTCTCCACACTCCTTACGACGATCACGCATACATTTACTCTCGAAGAGCCTGTTCGTCAACCAAGCCAAGAGAAACTGAAGAAAGCCATTGATGGTCATCAGGCTAGTTTCACCGCACTCAGGAAACATCTTGCCGAAGCTCAATCTGAACGTTGGTTCGGCGGTCCTGGGAAATCATCTACTGCTCCTTCGAGAGAAAACTTGGGACAGGCGTATGAGGATGCGGTGGATAGCTTGAATAGGCTTGGACAGCATCTTAACGGTCTACGAAGCGGCACTTCGCTACAATTCGAGCTTATTCAAGCGAACAAAGAGGGGAAACTTACACTGAAAAACCGTACCCTTCGTGCTTCCAGTGGTCTTCCTCCCGCTGTTTCGTCATCTGGGACTATCAAAGACAAAGGCATACCTACAGTGCCAACGGACGATGACCTGCTCCAGGCAGCTGCGGAGGTATTCGAAAACCTACTCGATGATTTGGATTCTCCTATCAAGTCACTAGCAGTAAGTATCCACAAATCGTTCTCGTGTATGTGATGGACTTACAACGATTCTGGTAACAGTCGACATGCTCGTCTACTCTGAAACGCCTAAAGGAGGCTTTCGTACCGTCGACCAAAAGCGATAAGCTGGGCAAGTTGAATACAGCCGAGTTTGCTCAACTTTCTGAATCGTTAGAAAGAGCATTGTTCCAGTTTGAAAGTACCTCCAACCATGCAATCGTGAGGCTGTACCGGAAGGGCACTGGTTCATCGAGGATGTCTATCACGTCCTTGTCAGACAGTGACAACCCTTATATGGCCGACAATGACAGCGAGAATATATTCTTGATATACTTGTGGGTTTTAATATAAATATATCACGATCTTTGACTAAACCATGACGCATGACTTTAGCTTCATCTTCACTCTGCAAGAATTCGCGAAGGAGCTCGCCTCTCTCGTTGACGCCATGGGTCGAATTTATAGTATCCAGCGAATCGAAGCAGAGCAGAAAAGATGGTGGCGGTCTCTGGTCCGCCCTTTGATTTATATGCGGGGAAGGATATCGGATACATGCCAGAATGTCCGACGGCGAGAGAAAACAACACCTCAGAAACGTCTTTGTAAGTCGTTGAAATTAGTATCTTACGGAAAGGCTTCCACTAACTCTCATCGACCTCGTATAGCCAAGTGGTTGCCCGAACCAAAGCCCAATACGGTGTCCTTCCCGAAAGTCAAACCACATGCTCCGAATACAGTACAAACTCCTCCTCGAGAAACCTTGACCTTCTGGGGCAGACTCAAACAATCACTTTGGGCGATAGGTGCTAGATTGAAAGAACCGGATATGAAGTATTCATTCAAAACTGGCATGGCACTCGCAATACTTGCTGCACCTGCATTCTTTGAGTCCACGAGGCCAATATTCACAGAATATCGGGGGGAATGGGCCCTGATCTCAGTAAGTTTGTTACGTTATATGCTTTGTATATATGTGTTAACTTATCGCTATAGTTCTTCGTCGTGATGTCACCGACTGTTGGAGCTGTGAGTGCTGCTCTGCATAGTACTTACGTGATTCACTCATGTTTGACGATAGACCAATTCCCTTGGCATGCATCGAGTCCTGGGCACATTGTATGTATACCTTCCGCTATATTTATGCGGTCTCTTTAACAATGTCTTGAAAGATTGGGTGCAGTCATAGCCGTATGCGTCTGGTCTCTCTTTCCGGAGAATCCTTACGTTCTTGCGATATTTGGCTTCTTCTATTCTATTCCTTGTTTCTATTATATTGTTGCTAAACCGCAATATGCCACATCCTCACGTTTCGTGTTGCTAACCTACAACCTGACGTGTCTGTACTGGTGAGTGCTATATCCTGTTAATACGCACAGCCCCACTCAACTTCCGTCTCAGCTATAATCTCAGAGAGAAAGATGTCTCTGTGATCAACATTGGCTATCACCGTTTCGTTGCCGTCACTATCGGCGTGGTTTGGGCTGCAATTGTATCAAGATATTGGTGGCCATATGAAGCCCGGCGGGAATTGAGTAAAGCACTCGGAGAGTGAGTCGACTGATAACTAGAGGATACGATGCAAGTCTTGACGTCTTTCTATCAGATTCTGCTTAAACATTGGATGGCTCTATACACGTTTAGTCGCTTTCAACTCGTGGGAGCATGATACGAGTGTAATCGAAGAGGAACAGCCTACAGAAGAAACATCTCTTCTGATCCGATCCAAGAATGCACACCTCAATGAGTCTATTGTTCGCTTCATGGCAATGTAAAAAAGCAAATTAAGATTTACTCTATCACTACGGATACTGATACATATGTTTAGGGAACTGCATCTTCAAATCAAGCTGATCCAGTTACAAGGGTTACTTTCCCAGACTCAACACGAACCGAGGTTGAAGGGACCTTTCCCGGTCAAATTGTATCGTTCCATCTTGACAAGTTTACAGACCATCTTGGACAAGTTGCACAGTATGCGGTGTGTTACTTCCCGGGATGAATGGTTCGTATTTCTGTATCGTCTGCTTTGTCCCGTCAATACTCATTCGATCATTCTCATAGGCATACGGTATGGTTTTGTATATTGACACAGGAGGAAGTACTAATGAATGGTATAAACACAGACTGTTCGTCAGGAGTTTATCATCCCTGTGAATAAGGAGAGAAGAGACATGGTCGGCAACGTCATTTTGTACTTCTCAACTCTGGCGGCTGCATTCAGACTGAAGTCACCCTTACCCCCGTATCTACCACCCGCGGAGGAAGCCCGTCAACGTTTAGTGAGTCTGCTATCTCGCAAGCTTTGGTCTCGTACTGACTTTTCTTAGGTCGATGCTATTCGACAACTCGATGTTGCCAAGAATAGGGACGTGAAGGGATCAAGACATCTCCTTTTCTTTGCATATGCGACTACTATGAAGGGCGTCATTCACGAACTAGACTATCTCGGACGCACAGTCAAGATGCATTTGGTGTGATTGGAGGGAGTACTGAAGAATTCGAAGCGATGTTCAGGGATGCGTTAGCATAATACTCTCAGGC